TGAACATGTCTACTCTTGTAATTTTCGATTGTAATTGTTTTTATTTCTCTATAATAAAAAATGCATTAAGCCAACACAAACATAAACCAAAAATCCAGTGATGGGATTGAGCACTTTTTGCCCCTAACTAATTTGTTGACGCATACCCTCCTACTTAACACAAGAACCTGAACACAGACATAAACCAAAAATCCAGTGATGGGATTGAGCACTTTTTGCCCCTAACTAATTTGTTGACACATACCCTCCTACTTAAAACAAGTTAAATAAGGTCATCCATCGCTTTTGAATGACAACACACGCATATATTTAGTCAGTCTTCACGTTATGTTCCCTTGATTTATCAATTTTCTTTCCTTTTAGAGCAAATTCACCTCAAAAGGCTAAGGCAAGGCAAGGGCTGCCACTATTCACGTGAAGGTTAAGGCAAGGGCAAAAAAAAGAAAAAAAGATTATGCAACAAAATATAAAAAAAATTTGGTATTTAAAAAAATAAAAAAAATCCACCCCAATTTGGTTTTTTTTTATTAAAAAATTGCAATTTTTTTTTCCATTTTTTTCGCTTGCTAACGTCAGCGTGACATCAACGCTGACGTCAGCGCCTTCGGGTTGCAGCTCAGGCAGGATTTGCCTGTGGGCTTGCCAGGGTTGCTGGGACCCACCGCTTGCCCGGGCTTCTTCTCTCGCGCTGGAGGCCTCTTGGGCTGCCTTGGGGGGCCTTATGCCCGATTTTGGCTCAGGGGTGGACATGCTCTTATATTGGAAGCTGGTTCATTTGTGTCTATGTCCAGATCCAATTGAGAGCTCTCTTTCTTTTCAATCCTTGCTTGCCAAAAAGCCTCACATACTCTACCTCCTCAAGTCTGCTTTCTTTTTTTATAGGCAAAAAGTCATTTTAGGTCCCTATGGTTTGCCACTTTTACCACTAAGGTCCCTGTGGTTTCAATTTCGTCACTTTTGTCCTTGTGGTTTCAATTTGAAGCAATTTAAGGACAATTTGAAGCAATTTAAGGACAATTCCCAATTTCTGATACTTACTGAGGGGCATTTCGGTCCAAACTTGCAGCCCCTCCCCAACCCCCTACAGCCACCCAGCAGCCCCTCCAAAAACTTATCTCTGTTGTAAACCAGCAACAAACAATGCTCCATTTGAATTTGTGTTGATAAAAATTATGGCCATTTATACATAAACATCAACTAACAAAATCATAATCGAGCGGGTCTTAGGATTACACAAGGGAGATACATTTCTTTATATTTTTTCTGAACCCAAAGAAAAACTCACAATTATAATCATAATCCATCTCATTTCTTCATAAGGGATGAAGGAAATCTCCAACCAAAAGTAGCCTAGGATTACAACATCGTCATCAATTGCAGCTCTTATTGCACCTTGTGCCAGTGTCACAAGCTTTGATAGTTTCTTCTTATGTAATACAACATAATCTCTAAAAAAATTGTTGATGAAGGTTGTATAAATGGTACATCTCTTTGCACATCTCCAAGGAGCATTGTTTGTTGCTTGTTTAGACAGTGGGATTGTCAATATTTACAACAGGGAGGAGATTTTGGGGGGGCTAGTGGCTATGGAGGTGGTTGGGGAGGGGCTGCAAGTTTGGACTGAAATGCCCCTCAATAAGTATTAGAAATTGGGAATTGTCCTTAAATTGCATCAAATTGAAACTACAAGGATAAAAGTGACGAAATTGAAACCACAGGGACCTTAGTGGTAAAAGTAGTAAACTACAGGGACCAAAAGTGACTTTTTGCCTTTTTTTTATATATCAAAGTCATTTGCTATTTTTCCCCTTTCTTTGTGTGAGTAGTGTGAGGTCATTAAGGTCCCGTTTGGGATTGCTTTTTTGGCCAAAAAACCAACTTTACTTTAAAGGTAAAGGTAAGCAGTTTAAAGTATTTGATAAAAATAAAATATTCTGATTATTTTAAAATCGTGTCTATTTTAGTTATTATTCAGAGTTACAACAGTTTTTTTTATTAACATTTACTAAACGATTTTGACATTGCTTTTTGTACTAACCTTACTTTAAAAATATTGTTTACCAAACATGGAGCTGCTTTATTTCACAGTTAATTATTTTCAAAGCACAACAGAATTAACTTTTTTTTAAAGTCACAGTAATCCTAAACTAAAATCATAAGGTTGGGCTTCAGCCCTCCTCCTCTAGTCTCTACCAAAAAACAAAAATCATAAACTTATCCAATGTCGGTGTAAATAAATTTGTTACTTATTTGCAAGATCATAAATAAATAAATTTAATAACCAAGGAGAAAGGAAGAAAGAAAGAAAGAAAGAAAGGGAGAGAGGGAGAGAAACAAAAACAATGGAGCTGACGGGAAGGGGTGGACATGCTCTTATATATATATTTTTTGGTCTGGAGACATGCTCTTATATTGAAAGCTGGTTCATCTGTGTCTATGTCCAGATCCAATTGAGAGCTTTCTTTCTTTTCAATCCTTGCTTCCCAAAAAGCTTCACACACTCTGCCTCCTCAAGTCTGCTTTCTTTTTTTATATATCAAAGTCATTTGCTCTTTTTCTCCTTTCTTTGTGTGAGTAGTGTGAGGTCATTAAGGTCCCGTTTGGGATTGCTTTCTTGGCCAAAAAACCTTCTTCACTTTAAAGGTAAAGGTAAGCAATTTAAAGTATTTGATAAAAATAAAATATTCTGATTATTTTAAAATCGTGTCTATTTTAGTTATTATTCACAGTTACAACAGTTTTATATTAAGATTTACTAAACGATTTTGACATTGCTTTTTGTACTAACCTTACTTTAAAAATATTGTTTACCAAATATGGAGCTGCTTTACTTTACAGCTAATTATTTTCAAAGCACAACAAAATCAACTTTTTTTTAAAGTGACAGTAATCCTAAACTGGCCCTAAATACGTTTTCACAAGGTTGGGCTTCAGCCCTCCTCCTCTAGTCTCTACCAAGTGTGAGGTCATTAAGGTCCCGTTTGGGATTGCTTTTTTGGCCAAAAAACCAACTTTACTTTAAAGGTAAAGGTAAGCAGTTTAAAGTATTTGATAAAAATAAAATATTCTGATTATTTTAAAATCGTGTCTATTTTAGTTATTATTCAGAGTTACAACAGTTTTTTTTATTAACATTTACTAAACGATTTTGACATTGCTTTTTGTACTAACCTTACTTTAAAAATATTGTTTACCAAACATGGAGCTGCTTTATTTCACAGTTAATTATTTTCAAAGCACAACAGAATTAACTTTTTTTTAAAGTCACAGTAATCCTAAACTAAAATCATAAGGTTGGGCTTCAGCCCTCCTCCTCTAGTCTCTACCAAAAAACAAAAATCATAAACTTATCCAATGTCGGTGTAAATAAATTTGTTACTTATTTGCAAGACCATAAATAAATAAATTTAATAACCAAGGAGAAAGGAAGAAAGAAAGAAAGAAAGAAAGGGAGAGAGGGAGAGAAACAAAAACAATGGAGCTGACGGGAAGGGCTGCCCATCCACTTTCGCTTGGGCGGCCACCGGTCCATTTGCAATTCTTGGAGGAGCAATCGCGGCCAAGCAAGCACAAAGGGATAGGGATAAGGAGCTTGCTTAGATATGGTGGAGGAAAGCGTCTTAATAATCGAACTATTCTTCCTTTCTTCAAGAATAGTGTCATCCCAGCAACTTGTTGTGCGGCAAAGGCAACTACATCTACAGGTGCTGCTGCTGGCGATATGTTGGAAGTGGATTTGAGAGAGATTAAGGACAAGTGCAAAAAGTGGAATTGGAAGGGTAGATACGTCATCAATTACTTTGTTTCTCACTCTTCTTCTGATCCACACTCATCAAATCCAAATCGTCCCCCTATACTTCTCGTTCATGGTTTCGGTGCCTCCATTCTTCACTGGCGCAGGTTTGTCTTTTGTCCAATTTACGCATGCATGCTTTATTGCTTATCCATATCTACATCCATTTTAGCTAGCCAGCCAGTGGCCACACATTATCCCCCAAAGCCAAAGTTAAAGACAGTAACAATGAAGTCAAGTTATTAATTTCATTTGTTTTTACTATTTACTATTTACCCTCAAAGTTAATGTGATTCATTACTTTACTTGCTCAGAAATATTAGGACGTTGGCCCAGATTTATACCGTTTATGCTATTGACCTCATCGGGTTTGGTGGCTCAGAGAAGCCAGTAGGCTTTTCATATACCATGGAAAAATGGGCTGAGGTAAATGCTCTCTGAGTCTCCGAATCATATTTATTTAATTATAAAATTAAAATCCAATATCTTCTTATTTAAATTAAGAGAATCCTTTAATTAATATAATATTATTGTAAACTTAAATATAAGTTTCTGACTCAAGTGTCATTAATTACTGTAAACAGTTAATCTTGGATTTTTTGGATGAAATTGTTCAAGAGCCGACTGTGTTGATAGGGAACTCTGTTGGGAGCCTTGCTTGTGTCATTGCTGCAGCCTCAGCCTCAGCCTCAGCCTCAGCCTCCGGTGCTGAGGCAGAATCTAATAATAAAGCACTCGTTCGAGGGTTGGTGCTTTTAAATTGTGCGGGTGGTATGAACAATAAAGCAATTACTGATGACTGGAGGATCAAGCTTTTCTTACCTTTGCTTTGGTTGATTGATTTTCTGTTGAAGCAACGAGGAATTGCTTCCGCCATTTTTGAGCGTGTCAAACAGAGGTGAGCTATTCAACTATACATATGATATGATTCATTCAGCAGCTATATATAGCCTATACGTATACGTACATACATACAAACGTAGTAGTTATAATAAAGCTAGCGATCACGTCGTGAGTATATATATTTATATCGATCTAGTCTGAGTCTGACCATGCTTGGTGCAGAGATAATATAAGGAATATCTTATTGTCCGTTTACGGGAATAAGGAATCTGTTGATGAAGAATTAGTAGAGGTAGAGTATCCTCTCCTTAGTACGGTTTCATCAATAAGTAAATTACATACATTTCCCGACCTCTTTCTCTCTCCCATTTTCCTTGCAGATAATCATGGAACCCACCTGCGACCCTGGGGCGCTTGATGCTTTTGTTTCTATCGTGAGTGGCCCTCCCGGACCAAGCCCGGTGCAGTTGATGCCAACAGTAATCTCCTCCTCCCTACCACTTCTAGTTTTATGGGGGGATGAAGACCCCTTCACTCCGCTTGATGGACCTATTGGCAAATACTTCGCCTCCCTACCTTCTCAACTACCCTACGTCACCCTCTTTGTTTTACAAGGGGTTGGGCATTGTCCCCACGATGACAGGCCTGACTTAGTACACAAGAAACTTCTTCCATGGTTGGATCACATTTCTACTGTAACTCACACTTAATCACATAATTGACTACTTGTCGACGATTCAAGAGAGTAGATGCTCTCAGAACGAATAAATGCCATAACATCTTAATAATTTGTAAGAATGGCAGGTTTATGTGATAAACAACGTTTGCACATTCTTGTCTCACCTTTGCATATGATGAGGGCACGTGTTGGCCCAAAACACCAAAAAAGGCTCAATTACCTAGTGCAACGCCAAGTGTGGAGTGGAATTGGCAAAATTCCTTGTCAGGTCCGGTCTCCGGCCTGGTGGAGATTTTGGGGGAAACGGGGCGGTCCCATTTTTTAATCATAAATAGTATAGCCGCATGGCTATACTGGGGTTGTTTAAAAAAAAAAAAAAAAAAACCATATAGCCGTTTTTTATTATTAAAAAATAGTATAACCGATCGGCTATACTATTGTTGACACGTGGCGCAATAGGTGGGCCCTAGGCGGTCCTTTTTAAAATTTTTTTATAGACTCCGATTTTTTAAATAATAAAAATAGTATTGCCGATCGGCTATACTATTTTTGACATGTGACGAAATTGGCGCAGCCAGTCCTTTTGTTTAATTTTTTTTATATACTCTGATTTTTTAAATAATAAAAATGGTATAGTCGCACGGTTATACGGCTGTACCTTTTTTTTTTTGGAGGAGGGGAGGGGGTGTTCCAGTGTAATAATCCGAAATTATCACTTGACCCGCCAACACACAGACAATTTACTGGCACCCTCCAATTGGGGTAAATGTTCGAAGCTCCAAATTAAAAACAAGTCAGCAGATTACTTGTACAAGTTTTGTTGACGCCAAAAAGTGGTTCTTTGACTTAGAGGGTCAACTTAGTAATTTTATGCCTTCGGTATCCTTGATGCCTCGGTAGTCTACGCGATCTGCAATATGAGCAAACGCACGGTAAGACCTAGGGCACCGGTGTGGTACCGGCCGAAGGCTCTCCGATGCTTAAGTAAGTTCGGGAATAGAAAGTTTAACTGACAGATCAATAGGCTTGTTTACCTC